AGCCAGGACATATGGCTTGGTGATTTCCACCCTGAACTTGCACCTCTGACTCTTATCAGGGCAAAGGCAAGTCACCTGTGACTTCACCCTGACTCATATCTGGGTTGTGGAAAGTGACTGGTCTTTATCAGGCCATGCCTGATTGACATATTGGAGGGCTCTGAAGGCTTATGCCTGGCGGGACTGCAGGTTTATTTTAAAACGGAGTTGCTTAGGCTAAGGCTATCCTAATAGTTAGGCTAAGACCATCCTTACAGAGAGATATTATTCCAACAAGAGAATGCAGAAAAGTATGAGCACATAAATAATCAACTTATTTATTGATGAATTGGAGGAAAAAAATCTGTGGCTTTCTACCGGATGTCAAACAAACAAACAAAAAACAAATTCTAGTGTCACTTAGTCTTTGTCCCCAGTGCCAAGTTAATAAGGAGGACACAGTTTTGAGAAAAAAGAAAAAAAGAAGGTTTATTGCTTTGCTAGCAAAGGAGAAGCAAGGGAACTCCTGTCCCAGAGGCAGAGATTCTGCCCATCAGGGAAAACACAGGACTTTCAAAGAAAGATGCTACATTCCAGGTGCGCCCTGATGGTCCCTTGAAATTCACCTGTCAATTTGGGAGACAGTCCTGTCCTAGATTTTCCAGTGACTTCTCCTTCCTGTGGTGGGTGTGTGCTCAAGAGGTCTGATAAGGAGGCCTAGGAAAGGAAATGGTAATCTCCTTCCCTGCCCCCAGGTTAGGGAGGGGGAGGGGGGGGAGAGGAAAGTAAATACAAGCCCCTTTAAAATCACCTGAGAGCCAGGAGGACTCTATCCTAAAGGTGAAGTGGACGCAGCTACACGCCTTTCAACTACGAGTGAAACTCTAAACCTTTTATACCTTGAACACAGCCCTTGCTGCTCTGCCACTGCGACTTATTTTTAAAAGGACGTGTTTCTTTCTCTTCCTCTCCTTCCTCCTCCTAATCTCTCCACTCCCTCATCTCAGGGAAACAGTATTCCCTTTCCTCCCCACCTCAGGCAGAGTTGTCTGTCCTTGACCCACACCCACCACAGGAACCAAACAATACAGAGTTTGGGGATGGCACCACACAATCTCAAAAAAAAGACCATCTCCCAAATTAACGAAGGAATTACAATCTGACAGAGAAGGCACGGAATGTGGCCTTTGAATCGCCTCTTTAAAAGTCCCCTGCTCCCTTGGATGGAGAGAATCACAGCTTTTGGGACAGGAGGTGTCTGTATTTCTCCTTGTTGTCAAAGCACAAAATCTTTTTCCCAAAACCATGTTCTCACTACTGGATTGGCATCAGGAACAAGGACCGAGATAACAAGCCCACAGCATTGGAGGAAATACAGGCATATTCAACCCTAGTAAAGGGAACACCTGGCCTCCACTGTGCACTGTAACGCTGGTGTAAATGAGTCAAACAGATGAACTAAGACTTGGCAGTCACATGACTAAAAGGGGTTGACTCTAGTTAAATAAAGACCTTCGGTATATTAACAGGAAAGACAAACACCTCAACGAAATATCTTCATCCAAATTGGCGAAAGTGGCTCATTTAATACATGGAAAAACAAAAATAAATAAGTAGCGGCAGAAAAAAAGTAAATTAGCAAAACCATATTTCACAAGACCAGATGGTCTGGGAGATGGAAGTTCACTGATTATGTGGAACACCAGCGTCACCTAGTGGCCAGGCAAGTTAGTTCAACCACTTAAGAAAATTCCACCTAACAGCACAAAGCGGTAATTTATACCCTTACAGACAGTAATTCCACCAGCAGGAAAAAAAAA